CCCCCCCCCCCCCCCTCATATTATTCACGTATGAGTACTTCATTCATACCGCTTTTTCACTTTGAACCTTTACTTAGGAGTATTTTTCGATATCTGCCACCTTTCTCGAGACATTTCTTAAAAAAAACCCAATTTTCAAGATTGTGGCCAAAAGGGGGGAGGGAGAGTGCAGGGGACTCGCAATGGTTTCTGAATCAGGAGGGCGTAACGGTTATTTTGAGACAAAAATCACGTTGGTAGCTGGTAACCGCGTATCATCGTGCATTTTAGGGGCAAGCGACTGCACTACTCGGCTGAGCGTTCAAAATCTTGATCTACTTGAGTCTAATCGCACAATGGTGGTTACTGTGAGCGTCTCTAAGATATGAAAATTTGGCAACCTCATCCTGGGTGCTACGGCTCAGCTGTTGCACTTTGCACTTCACCTTTTGCACAACACAGGGTGGGAAGAAGCATTGTTTGGTTGAGAAGCCTGCCATAATCGTTGTAGTGCGCAATTTGATTCAAGTACATTTTTGTTTTTCTTGTGAGCGGGAAATTCAAACTTTTCGTATCAAATGCCATTATTAGGTACGTAGCTCAAGTTGGATCTAAATTATGTTATGTTTGTTATGTAAACCGTGCTTTATGTGAAATTTTAAAGAAAAAGCATGAATGAATTCTTTCATTCGTACCTTTTCCAGTTGTTCATTCAATTTGTTTGAATAACAATGAGCACCCTTCTCTACCTTGAAAAATTCACAAAGAATTTTCATAAGGGATATCAAATTTATACACGGATCACCATGCTGATACATCAAATCAAAAGTTTAGTTGATATATTTCAGTTTTTTACCTTTAATATAAAATTTTCTTCTGGCTGGAGCTTGATATTAAGAGCAGCGATGCGTATTTGTTTCTCAAAGTCGATATCTTTCTTCCGAGGAATTTCAAGTGAAGGGAAGAGGTCACTAATCAGGCCCATAAAAATGGACATATCATCGGTTACAATTTTTGGAATATTGAAATCTCTTAGGGCCCTCATTAGAACTTGTTCCTCTGGGCGCATTCTATCTCCACGCTGCACAAGAGTGAGGAAAATTAATATTCAGTATTTTTTTTCTTCTCTTTTTTAAAGTAGAGGGTAGTGAAAATTTTTAAGTAGGCATGCCGTAAGTTGAAACTACTTTAATAATTTATTGACTCATAAACTTTACAAATAGGTCATTTTGTGACCTAAGCAATTAATATTCTGTAGACTGCAGTCGATTGATATTAGCATTATGCACGCAGATATTGAATAAAAGGATTATCCGGAATCTATTAAAAGAAAAATATGAAATAAGACAAATAAACTAATGGAAAAAAGGAACAAAAAAATCTAGCAAAAAGAAGTCAAACATGAGACAATCCGAACTCCTACATTCACGTGGATCAAGAATTCAATTTTATAAGGACAGATCTGTTCAGATCTGAACATTTCTACAATTCAACTGAAAGAAAAATTCAGAACTTCTTCACAAAAAAATCATTCACATGAGAGTATTGGTGAAATAGATGTGATGAAAGATTATGAGCAATAAATTCTTCATAAAAGAAAAGAAACTCGATATTACATCGGTATGCAATGATTACCTACAGGACTAATTCATCACCTAATAGTGATTATCGAGGTAAAAAAAGGAGAGCGGAAGAAATATTAAGTAAATTTATTTCTTCAATAGCAATACGGATGTAATTAATTGTATGAAATGTTTCTATTACATACATAGCCAAAAGACCGCAGAACAACCCCTGAACGGGTCTATTTGTACCAAGAGATACAGTAAAAAATCTAAAATTTGTGAGTGAAATCGCACAAAATTCTCGTTCGGCACTTCAAAAAATCTAAAATCCATTCCTCAGCGCGCAATCTGTGTAGTTTGTAACCCTTTTTTTAAAAGTTTCTCACGTCTGCTGGCCGTACCTCAGTCACTATGCCGACCAGGTCTGCAAGGGCAGAGAAGTGAATTACGAAAAACTAACTTGAGTTTTTTTATTAAGTGGATTCAATCGTTTTCAATCGTTTGTTTCCTTTTTCTTTCTTCATTTTGCAAAAAGAAAAGCTTTAAATCAATGGGAATCTTATTTGCAATTGGTAGAGAAATAGTGACTTTAGCAAAAAGTGCGTAGTCAAGTTGTGCAGAAAAATACGTATTAAATTACAGTGTTGTGTGATAGGTATGGTACAAAATGGCAACGCTGTGAAAATTATTGTATCTTACCCCTTCATATTCTGGGTTATGCAATAGTGTGTATAGCCCCTTCAATCTGCGGGTTATGCAATGGTGTATGTTGCCCCTTCAACTTGGAGGTTATTCGACAGCGTTGCCGTACGGTGCACATTAATAAATGATTAAATTAGCGATGAAATATGGCAACATCGAGTTTTGAAGTGTTGCCACATGGTTCAAGAAATTAAATAATTTTTCCGTACATAATTGTCAGATTGTGCAAAAATTCGGATTGTCGGACTTGTAAAGTTTCGGCATCGGCAATAATAGATCATCTTCTTCGTGATAGGTCTGGTATCGGATACTGGAGAGTAGGGTCCAATTAATTTCAATTTTTATTGTCACGAACGAGCAATAACATGACGAATAACGTACTTCCTGAGGCAGGGGTATATCAGATCTGCTTTTATCAGATCATCCTCACAACGCTGGAGCTGAGGACGGCCGTGGATCAGCCCAGCGTCTAACAATACGACGGCCAAGCCCGAGCAGATCCCCTTCACCTCCTGCCTCCGGTGTTTTACCGGCAAGTCAGCCGGCAACCACCAAGGCAGGAATTCCAAGGCAGCGCATGACTTGGACCAGAGAAATAAACATCGATGTCATGCGTTGCATCTATAAAGCAACACGACTAGACACCAACGCATCAGGGTAGAGATTCCACCTACGCCAATTGTTATATATCGCAGAAAGGTGGCGCGAGAGGAGGAAGATCAGACTCTCTATGGTACAATTGTCGAACAAATGGATGAAAATAATTCCTAAAAATACCTAGGATTCCAACAGAATCGCAGACTAAACCATAATGACATTAAGCATACGGTTTAACAGCATTGTGAGCAGCGTCTCAGGGTCTTGTTACGCTCTAGACTGAACTCAAGAAATCTGTTTAAGGCTATTAATACTTTTGCTGTGCTAGTCTTGACATACTCTTTCAAAATTATCAAATGGACCACCACTGATCTGGAGAATATCAACATTAAAACCAGAGTGTTGTTGACTAAGAGCCGGAAGTTACACCCGATATCATGCAAAGAGAGAGTGACTCTCGGTCGGGAAGTAGGCGAAAGAGGTCTACTGGATATCCACGAGCTGTGTAATCGTCAGGTTTATGATCTCAGGACGTATTTTACAAACATAGAACACCCTATACATCAGGCAATCGTTTGCACGGATAGGAACTATACACCTGGATCCCGGATGGCGAGTATAAAGCCTTCCGTTTCCGGACACAACTGCCCTCTCTGAAGACATTTATAAGGCAGGCTCTTGGAGATATGATCTTGGTGGACTTGACTATAGTGTCTTCCGTGCAACTCTTTAGATGCCCAGATGGTCTCCTTCTGCTCATCCGTGTGAAACGGTGGATACAAAGCTCTCTGCGAGGCCAAATTCAAAGGTGTATGGTTCCTATCCGTGCTAACGATTGCCTGATGTAAGGGGCGTTCTCTGTTTGCAAAATACGTCCTGAGATCATGAACCTGACGATTACACAACTCGTGGATATCTAGTAGACCTCTTCCGCCTACTTCCCGACCGAGAGTCAATCTCTCTTTGCATGATTTCTGGTGCAACTTCAGGCTCTTACTCAACAACACTCTGGTTTTTGTGTTGATATTCTCCAGATCAGTGGTGGTCCATTTGATAATTCCGAAAGAGTATGTCAAGACTGGCAGAGCAAAAGTTAATTATTCACCGAAAAAAATAGTATGCTATGGTAGCACAGGCCTATGTTTTATTGTCATGGGAACGGAGTTCCCCATGATATTAGAATCGTTCCGTTGCTTTCGCTATGAGATTCCCTATACCTCTGCGACCTTGAGCGTTTCGCCCAGTCTCCGATTTTTGGTTGATTTTCCGATGTATCAAAAACCGTTGTATTTTTTAGCCAATCATGTCTCTACGTCAAGTTGTGTTGATTGCTAAAATTCGCTTTCAGCGAGTTTTTTTCC